TCCTTCACACCTCAACATCAGTATACATATTCTCCATACTGTTCTCCTTACATTTCCTAAGGTGATGACAAGGAGAATTTGTTAACCAATCAAAAGCTTCTTTGCATGGTGATCATTTCCTTTATTCTCATGACCTCAATATGTGATTCAGGGGTGATATTGTAAGGAGAAATTAGATGATAGTCACTTTTAGGGATTAAAGGGTTAAGTGACAAGAAATGAATGTAAGAAATACTTAAAAGAAGAAAAAAATGCAATTGCTCTGGATGAAATTGTCACTCTAGACTTCTTAAATGTCACACTATAGCCTGACTATTATTATATGGATGAAAAAAATAATGAAATAAATATAAACCAATAAGTTCAGGTAAAAACTTCTTACCACTTTGTATCTAAAATACCACTTGTTTCCTGAGTTTGCAGTTTTTCCAACCTACATAGTGAAATAAAGTAAAATTTATATATTTATTTATGGGTATAAAAAACAAGTAAATTGACATAACTGATTAAAAAAATGAACATAACAGGCGACCTTGTACGCGATTCATTCAGGCGATACAGCTGTACATTGCCGACCCTCTTGTTGCCAATGCTTGAATACTCCTCTGGGCAAAGCGCGGATCCATCGTTTTTCTCTTTATTCTCGAGCAGCTGATAAGTACCGCACACTAAATAGTCTTCAAAACCTTTAGCAGGACACCACTCTACAGTATCTGCGTAATAACCCGTGTCTAAGGTACACAAAGTGTCTGTTAACATTTTCGAATGCCATTGAAAAGTGTACAAGAAACCAATTTATGCCAGGCGTTCCTTGTCACTTCGCCCGCTACTCATCCTGGGGTGTTTCACCCAGCTAAGGGCGCACAGGCTTGTGGGAACAGGAAGAATATGGCTGCCAAAAGTCGAAGCGGCGGAACTCAGCGCGTACTTCAGAAACTAAGCAAGTCCATCGAAGATGGTGAATATTACGAAGCTCATCAGTTGATACGAACGCTATACTTCAGGTAGGTTTCTTCTTAGTCTTTTAATTGATAAATCGACAGGACTCGAAAAGCGAGCTGAGGAAAACACAAATGAACTGAGACCGTAGGTGTGCATGTGAGCCTCGCTGTAAGGCTGTGATTGATTGGAAATAGTCCATTCAAACCAAAACTATGTAAAATATGTGAAATATCCTCAAGGTACCGTGGCGATTAAATTTATAGGAGGGAGATGAAGTTGTTTTTTCGCCTTGAAAACTTGTATCGCTTCGTTGTTGTGTAAAATAACTATGCCGGTAAAAAAAAAACACTTATCAATGTGTAATAAGTGCTTAGCTAAGCATATTCCACTTCGCTGAAACAAATTGAATATAAGATGTAGTTTTGGTCTAGCGAATTTTACCTTAAGAAGACAGTACGAGGACAAAGCTATAAATTTCGATTCTGAATATGAAAGTTCAGTTTATGGTGACTTACGAAATCGTGATTTCAGTTTCCATAAATCATCAGACCGTGTCAATAATTTTTATAAATACAACTCAAGCATTCAAAGAAAATGCAAATAATTATATAGTTCAACTTTTACTAACAAGTATTCATGGCAGTTCCATTGAACAACAATTTTCCTGAATACCCTTGGACCCTCTCTGATAAAATATTGTACATATAAAGTTTAGGCTGCAAATTTCCAGCATGAAATTGATACCTTAGTAGGATCAAATCTGAAAGATCTTGTAGTTTTGTACTTTTGTTTTATATTTTGACTTTTTTAAGAACCACCCCTACCCCTATCCCTGCACAGGTCAATCCACAGCAATCCATTGCATGGTATAGCAAATCATCCTTAGCTTCCCCTCCCTTTGGGCTAACCCTAGATCAAGATGATTTTGACCTGATCTCATCTCATGTCTCATCATGTCCAGCAGTGTGTAAGACCTTCTCATGGTCTAGCTAAGTGGATCTATTTGTAGCTTTTTATTCACATTTCTCCCATGCAATACCAGCTCTCTTCATTTTCTAGAAATAAGTGACAGATTTATTAATGAATAGATGATGAGCTAAGCCTGTACTCAAGTCAAATGGCCTCCCCCAGTGGGAGCTTATCCTAGTTTCCTCAGCCCGGAGCAACTAGGAGTACCATTACTGCCCCCTGAATGGGATACCACTCCATTGCAAGGTTACCTCCCAGCATTTCATCAGGCTTTGCTGACAATTCACTAGTACCCATTTATTCTCCTAGGTGAAGAGAGGGACTGTGAAAGTAAAGTGTTTAGCATAAGAAAACAACACATTGACCTGGTCAGGTCTTGAAACTGAACCTCTTGACCTAGAATCCAGCAGCCACTTGGCCTCCAATGAATAAATAGACGAATAAAGATAAATAAATTATTGTTAAGATGAAAATTAGGTCAAAGACTGCTTCTTCATCATGTCATCTGTTCATCTTCTCTCTCTCTTTGTTCCTTAGTAGCTCCTTCTCAGGGTTATTTTTATGAGTGTTTTAAACGGCTTCTCACATAACTCCTGCCCTAGCAATTTCCACATGTATTTAAAAATCTTTTTAGCAAGGTTAATCCTAATTAAAGATTTATGATCTATTTTCTAGGTATAAATCACAGAAGAGTTATGATGAAGCTTTAGAGATAGTTCATAATGGGGCGTGCCTACTTCTCAAACACAAACAGGTAATTTTCTCAAAAAAAATTTCTCATTACTGGTTTCTAAAGGTTGATTTTTACCTTGTGATGTGTCAAATTCAATTTCTCTAATATTACCTTTTTAGGTAATCAGTATTTACACGGTAGATTAATTTGTGAATTTATTCTCAGCAGCAGTTCTATTTTTATGTGGAAAGCATTTTTACTGTAACAGGATACATTTATACGAGATACTTACTAACTCTCTTTTATTTCTTAAATGCTTACAGGAAAGGAGTGGTACTGATTTAGCCTTGCTCATGTTGGAGTGTTTCCGTACTGCAAAGGTACCTGTTGGAGAAGATGCTTTGGATAAAATTAAAAGTTTGTTTGAACTTTATGAACATGGTTCACCAGATAGACAGGAATTTGTGACAGAGGCAATAAAGTAAGTAGAAATCAACGGCTATATTTATGGTAATCAGAAGTTTTGGTTTTAATCTTGTGACTGATCTGTTTTTTTATTAAAAGTATCAGAATGTTACGTAAAATTGATATCATGGAAAACACAAAATACATTAGTTTGAAATTATTTGAAACTGAAATCCAGTTTAAACTGGAAGATATGGTCAAACCTTGATTATCTGGACCTTGACTATCCAGAGTTTTCAACTATCTGCAGCAGCTTCTCTAGTTCCAATTTTTATGAATACTAATAACCTCTAGTCACATTTTAGATCAGAAGCAATTTTTTCCTGCAAACAAAGTGTTGGAACCGAATTTGTTCCACTTTCGTCACCCAGTAAATGTTTTAGGAATTGTTAAACATAGTTGGAGGGACAAAACAACATTGATGCTATTCCATTGTCCTAACTATTTAGCCCAATCCTCAGGAGTTGGGATAATCAAAATCTGACTGTATTTCTTTCTATTTAAATTGTTTTCATTAAACAATGGCATATCATTATAGAGGTTAGACAGGATTGATAGACAGTTTTGAAGTGAATGGCTTACTTGATAAAGTAAGAGGCAAATACCAGGAAGGGATCAAAAGGAGAGTCTCAGGCAGTCAAAATATCTGTGCAACCTGCAGCATCACTAGGTCTTTTAAATGTACCAGCTAAATGGTGGCAGAAATGCATATGGTGCTTGCTGTTTTGAATCATTCCACTGCTGCTTCAATTTTTTTTGTTAATCCTTTAATTCCCAGAAATGATTAATGTGAAACTTCTCCCTATAATATCCATACATTATCCTGCAAACAGGTATTGAGAAAACTCCAAATTATCAGTTAGAAGTTATTCTCTTGATCTAACACTAAATTCTTGTAACTGATTTACAAGGAAATGAGTAGCAGCTTGAGGGGAGAATTAACAAATCAGATCTTGGGAGTTAAAGGGTCAATCCTTGAAGCTAATTACAGTAAGATAATGTAAAGTTTTACTCAGTTTATTTCTTTGCTAACATTACTTTTGTTTTTGTTCTCAGATGGACATCTGAAACAGATCCGTCCCTCAAGTATGGACATCCCGAGTTACACCTTATGTGTGCCCTTAGTCTTTGGAAAGGTGGGTTTGATTTGAAATTATCAGGTTTTGCAGTAAACATGTGTAATGGACATAGAGTAGGAGAGGATGTGGTGGCACTGGGCCCAGTTGTATAAAGGGCAGATAGCACCATCCGACAGATAAATCTCTATCCAGCAAAATACATAATGTTATCTACAGGAAAGAGATTTATCCGGTGGATAGAGTTCTCCAACCTTCGAAAAACCAAGGCCTTTATTTTTTATTTAAATATTCTCAAAGATGTTAGCTATTTAGCTACTCTGTAAATTCAAGATTAAATGAAGTCATGTTTATGTTGTTTTTGTTTTTGTATGGTAAGTTTAGATCACCTGCCTAGATGTGGTATCAACCCTAAATTTCCTATGTTCTGATTTCTTATCCTTTATTATCAATAATATAACCAAATAACAATCCTGTTGCTTTGGAAATAGTCTAGTGCAAACCTGATAGGTTTTCTTGTGAATTCTTTCTTTTAAAAGGAGACATTTAGAACTGTCTGTGTTTAATATTGCCTTTTCCTTACTTTTAACAGAGAAAAACTTTGGTGATTCACAATACCACTTTCTGTTTACCTCTGATGGACAACAATGTGCAGCAATGCTGGTGGAAAGTGCTACAACACTGGGCTTTCCTGGAGAGTCGGACTTATTTGTCACACAAGCAGTATTACAGTATGTTTCAATACTTCTACCTAAACCATGTCTAGAATCCAAAAATCATAATTTATCAGAACTGTCAATAAGAGCCAGTAGCCAAATGAATTGGCTAGTCTGTCATCTTTAGACAGTTACTATAACCTCATTTTACCATAAGTACTGATGAAAAAATGTGCAATTATTGAAATGCCATAAAATAAATTTAGAACAGCAGCCATTTCCCAGTTTTTAGTGAAATAGCATGCACAATATTCCAGGAACAGATTTAAACATGTGAATCAATTCCAACTTAAGAATTTTCTTCAAGTTTCATGCAAACTTTGTGGAATGCTTGGGACATTTTATCTGAGTAGTTCTAAGCAGTCTGGCAGGCAATCTGATGAGACAATAAAGCATCCAAGACAACCAAGCCACCTGCCATTTTTTTGTTTGCTGTATAATTTCAAACTTGTTGAGAGCCTTTTGATGTATCCTAAGTTTCTTGATTTTAGTGGGTAGAGATAAAGGTAGACTTTCATTGCCCTCAGTGTTTGATAAAATGGAAGATACTTTTTAAAAGAGCAGTCTTCTGATCTCCTACAGATGGGTAGCTTTTGAAAGGGCTGTTGCCGCTGACTGAAGTACTCACACGTTATCATTTTGACAGAATGTGTTATACATAATTATGAACACCAGGCTTGTGACAAATTTTATCACCACCTTAGATAATACATGAATCCTGAAGTTCATGGAGACAGTAGACACTTAAATCAAAGGTGGAAATAGCTTCCATTACTGTATACCACACAGGTGAATAGTGCTTTTGGCAGGCACTGATTGGCTGGTTTGGCTGGTTTGATTAGAATGTACTATATACATGTACCTCTGAGCACCTGAGGAGAAAAAATGTGTGTCAACAATATAATTTCTGACCGTTTTTCTGGTGTATTGACAGAAAGAAACTCATTGCTTTT